TAAAGGTTCTTCACATTTAGAAAATAAATGGTTCTTTTAAGAACTGTTCACTGAAAGGTTCTTTTGAGAACCAAAGAATGGTTATTTTATGGCATCACTGTGAAAAACGTTTTTGAACCTTTATTTTTACACCACAAAGTAGCAATAAAATTAGCTGTAAATAGTTTTAATTTGCTATAAATCTACATAAATACAGTTAAGAGCGACAAGTGACACAAATTTGTGCCGTTTGTTTTCAATTTTTACCGCCCACAATAAAAATCACTTTGGTCCAAATTCCAACTTCACATAATAAATACACTAAGAAAACACACCACATAACATTGCCTGTAAAAAACAACATATCAAACAGAATATGTAGAATTAGCCAAATAACTACCTTTAACTTGTGAAGCTGAAGCCCAACAACTTTCCAACTTGCAATGATGAGTTTGCCATAGCCTAATTGGTTTTTACTAGTTGGAAACTAGCAATTAGGTTAATTCCAACATGACGTGAACGTAACATTACCATCAAACATGTTATGATTAGCTGTGTTACTTTAAAGCATTTTTCCTTCCAGTGAGGACAGTGTTGGAAACGCTGGAAACGTGTTGCGTCGTGTCTGGTTAACTCAAGGTGTTAGTTCTTCTCCACAAATAGCAGCATGTTAACATGTGAAATACAATCTAAACTGGCTGGGTGTGAAATGCACTAGTTATTTCGTTAAAAGCAACAGGCACCGGTCTCATCTGCCTCATGTTCGGCCTGTCTTTTCTCAGCCCTGTTTGTCTGTTCCCATCTGCCTCTGGGGGAACAGAGAGTGTGAATGTGTTTGTGAGGGTCGACAGCAGGACACACGGCACTCCGTCTGTCTGCGTTAAGACGAACAGAATGAAATCAACAGGTCCAGAACAGCTGATGGGAGGATGGAGAAACGACACCAACTCCATTTTAATTTGTCACTCACATGCACTCTATCTAATTTCTGCCTCTATCTTCACATCTTGCTTCAATTATGCCCTCGCTCGCTGTTTCAACACAACGTGAGTTTCAAAGCTCATTTGTGTTCTGCAAGTGCACAATTCAGTTTAGTGATGCTAACTGCAAATTTGAAACCTTCAAATGTTATTTTAAACGGCATAATTATTCCATTTTAACATTATTTGAAAGAATGAACACAAAATGATTATGAAATCTACCTCAGTTACAAGTTGCTTTGGATAAAAGTACAAAAAACACAAAAAAAATTTACAAAAAACACAAGTGAATCAATCAACCAGCCATACATCTAAGCAAACGATACTGATTCATCTGTTTTAATACTCAAAGTGCACTTAAATGCACATGCATCTGGATATGTTTCATATATATTCCAGATAACTCATTTGATGAATTACCGCTGCCATAATTATTAGGAAAAATATTTTTTTACCCAAATTGCGCAATTATATAGCGTTAAAATAAGGAAGCCTATTAGTGCTAAAAATATACAGGTGCATCTCAATAAATTAGAATGTCGTGGAAAAGTTCATTTATTTCAGTAACTCAAATTGTGAAACTCGTGTATTAAATAAATTCAATGCACACAGACCAGACTGAAGTAGTTTAAGTCTTTGGTTCATTGAATTGTGATGATTTTGGCTCACATTTAACAAAAACCCACCAATTCACAACAAATTAGAATACTTCATAAGACCAATAAAAAAAACATTTTTAGTGAATTGTTGGCCTTCTGGAAAGTATGTTCATTTACTGTACATGTACTCAATACATGGTAGGGGCTCCTTTTGCTTTAATTACGGCCTCAATTCGGCGTGGCATGGAGGGGATCAGTTTGTGGCACTGCTGAGGTGGTATGGAAGCCCAGGATTCTTTGACAGTGGCCTTCAGCTCATCTGCATTTTTTGGTCTCTTGTTTCTCATTTTCCTCTTGAGAATTTATTTAATACACGAGTTTCACAATTTGAGTTGAATTACTGAAATAAATGAACTTTTCCACGACATTCTAATTTATTGAGATGCACCTGTACTATTTCAGCACATTTACAGAAGAGATAAACTCAATTGTTAGTCATTTGTAAATAAGACACAAGGGTTTGTGCTGAAAGTCTACTTGCGAAATTGCTAAATTGTTTAAAGAATTTGCTTTCAAGTTTGATTGCACCTCGTTCGCCTCTTTGAAAAGTGCCAAAAAAATTATTGCCTAAATCATGCAATTATATAGCGTGAAAATAAGGAGGCATTTTCATGCTGAAAAAAATGACAGTTACTTCGTAATAATGTTATTTTACTGCATTCAATTCGGAAGTAAACTGATTTGTGAGTCGTTTGTAAATAAGAGACAAGGGTTTGCGCAGAAATAGCTACTACTTGTGAAAATGCTAAATAAATAGAGCTTGATTCTTGATTAAACTGTTCAGACAGTTCAAACTTTAGTCATAATAGATGTTTTAGATCATATTTTGGTTGGGATGTAATGATTAACCGCGAGCCGTTTGAAAATCGATTCAAATATGTGACGATTCATTATTACTAGGAAATGTACATAAATGTCTCATTTAAACCAAAAAATTACTGCGTTAGCCAAATTGCGCAATTATATAGAAAATAAGGAGGCGTATTTATGATGAAAAACGAAAAATAGTCAATAAAAATATGCTATTTCAGAGCATTTCACTCAGAAATCAACTGAATTGACAGTCTTTCGTAAATAGTCTTATTTATGAATGACTCACAATTCAGTTTGTCTGTTTATAATGGTTCACGCTTAAGTACTACTTGTGAAAGTGCTAAAATGTTTTCCTATGAGTTTTACATTTTAGATCATATTTAATTTAATTTAATGACAACAAAGCTACGAGAGGCAGAATTCAACATAATGAACGTGGTTTTGCGCAGCTCGTCAGTAAACACCGGCTCTGTGTAGTTAATGCTGCTCAATGTGAAAGCACGCACGTGATGGAGATTTACCGCTGATTACAGAACCGGCTTTCTGACAAGATGCGCATTAAATATCGCATGCGATTTATCGTGCAGCCCTAACCTACATGAGATCTGAAGCCCAGATTCCTGGGAAGAAACACGTCTTCAGCTCAAAACACGTACAATCAGATACACACAGAGTGCAATATGTCGATTTTGACAGCCGCTTCAAGGATTGTTTCTGGAATTTCCCATTATGCATCATTATTGTCTGACTATATGAGAGTCGCCATTCGAAGAGTCATTCGAAGCCCAAAAAATAATGCAATCTATGCACACTTCTATGAACCTGAAAATATCGCAAAGGACTCAATCAAGAAAAATCAAAGCAATATAATCAGTCACTGCAAAATTCCCTCAGATAGGCTAATCATCAAATATTCAGATCGCTATGAGTTTTTTAAAATTCCTAAACGTTCGACATTTCTTGAACATTTGGTTGTATTCTAGTTAAAATCACATGAGATTTTAAATTGATATCTGAGGTCAAATTGGCTTGCAGATGATTTTAATGAATCGTGTCAAATGTACAGTAATTCATCACTTAGTAATCACATCAAATAGAACATGTGCTCAATTACTTGGCACATTTGGCCCTTTTTTCCCCATTTCTTCTGAATAATTAATGATAAAATGGAATATTTATCTAATTCTTAACAAATAACTTCTTCAGGCTACTGCCTTTCTTTGCCTACAAAACTATTGCAAAAACACTTTAGAATATCTTGCATTAGCTAGTCATCAACAAACATTACGTAACAATGAACAGATTCAACATGCATGTATGCAAATATAGCCTATAAATCAAAGTATCCAGTCCCAGCCTTAGTCTGTTTATCGGATTTGCCAAAGTTTGCAAGGTTAGTAGCATCAAATCTTTGAAAGCTGGTTTTTAATTGTTGCATCACATAATTAAGAAATCCTCCCTTAATTGACAAGAAAAACTTAAAAAACTGTGCTTGGACGCTTCACATGTCAGTCAGACCATCTCTTCCAGTCTAAATGGGTGGTTTTTGAGCAGAAACAAGAACCAGGGCGAGAAACAAGAATGTCTATTCAAGAAATGTGAATAGTAGTTACCTAATAGTTAGATAGTTACCTAATGTTCTTATACACATTTCTGAAAGTTATATTATAAAGTGTTACTATTAATGCTTATAATACTAAAAAAAAAAAATCAAACCAAATGACAGTTGGATCAGTCTTTACACACAGATACTACAGTGGTACCGGGGCGGTGCCATCATGTCACAGTTAACCGTTACTATCCAAATGACTTTCAACAGACAGAAACCATCACATTCATTACTAAAGATGAGGACGCAGAGGTTTGCTTCATATGACAGAGATGAAGGTCACTGCAACCCTAATAAACCTGTTAAATTTCTAGAAGCTGTCCAGTGTCCATATTTGGACATTAATATTCAATTTATAATTTAAATGCTTGTGTGTTCAGATTCAGTCAATCATATTCAGCAAATGTCCATGTTTGGACATTAACGTTCAATTTATGGTCCATCATATTCAGCATATGTCCATATTTTGGCATTAATGTTAAAATTATAATTAATAATGTCCAGGATATGCTCATATTTGAACATTGATACTCAATTAACAATTTAGAATGTTGTGTATATGTCCATTTTTGGACATTAATATTCAATTCATCAGGAATAATGTTCTGCAAATGTATTTACATTTATATGAATTAATTATGAATAATGACCAACATCATCATGAACATCTCATTTTGCGTCTCAAAAAACAGCGTTTTTAATCATTTTCATCATTTGCCATGAAATGCACATTGTTTATCATATTCTTGATCAGAATCACTGATATAGCTACATAATTATATTCGTGTTTCTAATGGCCTCAGAGGGGTCCAGCCCTGCCATGATGGAGATGCACTTGTTTTCCAGTGGCGCAATACTGCAACAAACGCCTTATTATGATAACAAATCAATTTAAATGCTTCATAACATGCCGCAGAAACATTAAACGCTCAAAAACGCTAATGAATGAGGGTCACTCACCCAGAACACGAAGGAATAGACGATGAGTAGCGTTTTGAGGCAGGTAATGACTGGTTTGGTCTCCATTCTCCTTGATGCCATGAGCGCAGTGGGTTTGTGCTGCTGTGATTCTCCGCTGCGCCTCCGCCGCTGCGCTCTAGTCACTCTAGACGCGCCTGGCCAATCAGAGGGCGAGATACCTCGCGAAGGACCCGCCCCTCTCCGTCAGACTCCCTGCTGGCCAATCAGAGGAAGAGAGGGGGACGTTCAATCCCCGCCCTCGAGACGCGACGCCCTCTGCTGGACGTCACATGACAGTGACGACAGTTGCGCTAAAGGTGAGGCAGGTGCCTTTGCGTCAGTGAGAAAGTGATGAAAAAAATTAAAACTGTAAATGTAACTAAAACATGTAATTGAATCTGCCCTTTATTGTTTTTTTTGTTTTGTAAGCATTGTTATAGGATATAAAATGTCAATTTTGCTCACATTTAACCTTTGATATAAATAAAATTAAAAATATGTTTTTATACTAAAGAATTAGCATTTGTTTAATTTAATTAGCATTTATTATACTTTCTGTCCTTCCTTGACTTTTCATACAAATGACTAGGCTACATCAATTCTATAAGCTTATTCAAAACTAACAAAACTCTCATAATGTAAAACCTTGGTGTCATAAATAAAAAGTGTTTATTGAGTTGATTAATGATTTCTTTCTTTTTTTCCTATTTTTATGTCTGTTCTTGCTTGACTTGACATAAAATGAATTGAAAATGAAATACAGAAGTTGTAGGTTTATCGAAAACTAATAAAGCTGATTCTTTTCTATATTAGATGTCTGATGATAAGTTGTAAACATTTATTATATCACAAAAATTTTATCACATTTAAGTAACAAAAATCTATGACACATTTTATGATTGACTTTAAAATGAAATAAAACAAAACAGTAGGCTATTTAAGGTTTAGGGCATTTAATTAGATTTGTTTTTTTGTTTTGTTTTTTGTCTGTCCATATATATATATGGATATATATACACATACATACATACAGACAGACAGACAGACAAATAGATAGATAGATAGATAGATAGAAATCAATATTAGCCTAATTAAAATGTTAAAGTATTGATTATTATGGGCGCCATTTATAACGGTGCTAAAAAAGTTTCAGATTAGAAAAGTTCGAAATTACACATAAAATAATGGTAAACAAGAGTATTACTTCCAAGTCAACGTCTCATCCTCTTTCTCTCAGTAGAAACCTCATGTGATCCTTCAGTCTAGTGTGAAATAAGTTCACAGTTCGGCTCCAGTTTTAGCACGCAGTCGTGCTATATTTGGCACTCCAAATTTGCAACCTATCGAGGAGCCAGTGTAGTGAGATTCAACTCTCAGCAATTACAGCAGGCCGATGGAGGCGAGCACAACCACAACACAGCTGCTGTCACCTCGTGCTCGAGCCGCGTGTGAAGAAGACGCGAGTCGGTTCACACTCACTCACCATGTGACCTGACCCCACTATTAACACCCTAAATGAACCTATACAATGAACGAACCCACAGCACTCATGATCAGGGCGTCAAATCGCAGCTGCCGCGGGTGTTTGACGCCACTGAATATAATAAATAAATCTATAGATGAAAATATTTACAGCATCTTAAGGTGTGGTCACAAGGTCCATTATACGAAGCAGTGCTTACACGTCTAAACCAAGCAGATTTCTGTTGGTCTTTGCGGCAAATTTGCGTGAGTGACCCGCTGTATTTGAATTGCGTCACCAATTTGAACAGATCTGCATGGTGTATGGAAGCCCTGGCCGTTCCATCACGGAATAAAATGCATTGCAATTCTGAGATTATTGCGAGATATAAACCCCTTTCACACAGAAATACAGGCAATTGCCGTAAAATTAGTGGAACGACTTTATCGGTAAATAGAAAAATGCCCTGTTCACACAGGCAACAACGTTCCAACTTTTTTACCGGTAAAGTACAATTTACACCTCAGTTTCAAAATACCGGTAAATTGACCATATGCACGGAGCGCTATTTAGAATTTATGGATAAAGATAAACCAGCTCATAATCTTCCGGTGAAGCTCATTTTATATGTGCTATATATACGTTTACATTTATATTTAGACATTTAGCTGACGCTTTTATCCAAAGCGACTTACAATATATAAGACTATATGACTAAGGCTACTTTACTTATATATAGGTAGAGACTCTCACAGAAACCTCTCCTGCCTCATTCTTATCAGAAACTGAGAAACAAAATAATTGCAACTTCGTAAACTATGATAGCGTATGAAGCTGGTATGTGTTTCGCAGTACACAAGCCACGGTTAAGACAGCTGCCTCCACTGTGATGTGACCCTCTCTCTCTCTCTCTTGCGTTTCAGAATGATAAGCTTTGTAAAAAAACGACGCGTTTCAGAAAGGCAGGGCATAGAGGAGAAATAATAATGTACAGTATGTGGAAAATAATGTGTTTTTTTAACCTTAAACCGCATAAACACATTTCATTACACCAAATACACAAAATAATGTTCTATTTAGCAAAATCATATGACCCCTTTAACGTCCATAAACAGCGCTGAGTAATTGTGTCATCTGCGTCAGAATGTTATGACTGGCCCAGTGTAGACGTCTAACATCAGCGCGTTCTGAACTTGTGCTCATATATGATATGTGCTCATAACGGTAATCTCGTTCAGCATTCACACAGAACACATCACCAGAAATTTACTGATAGGCCTAATGTTTCAACTTCTCATATCGGTAAATTGCCAGAAGGAACTTACCGGTATTTTTGCAAAGGTCCTGTTCACACATTATCTCTTAATGATAATTTACTGGTAACTTATACCAGTAAAGATTGTGTTTGTTTGCGTCAGAAATCTGTGTTTGAACTTCAACTTCAAGCATTATGTTCGAAGCAGATGTCATAAAAAAAGGGAAGATTTCCTTTATGCTGTGGAAATACAACCAGAAGACAAAAAGGGGTGAGGCTACATGTCTATAGGCTATATCAAAATTTTGGACTTTATATCTTGAAATTGTGAGTTATAAACTGGCAATTGTGAGTTGACATTTGACCATTATTTTTTTCTCCGAATTGTGAGCTTATATCTTACAATTTCTACTTTTCCCCCCTCAAAATTATGAGAAAAAGTCTACAACTGTAAGATATAAACTCAGAACTGTGAGAAAAAAGTAAGAATTGTGAGATTAAAAGTTGCAATTCCATTTTTTATTCGATGGCAGAGAGTCCCCATCGTACGGATTCCTATTGGAATGACTAGATTTCGCCAAAGGAATTTCGCCAAGCAACGGATAATGTGACCATGCCTTTAAACTCCCTGAAGATATGTGTTTAACAGTATGACGACTGCTTGCTCAAGGTCAGAGTTTAAGGTGTGACTGTAATATCTTATAAACCTGTGTGTGTGTTGGTTCTTAGTCTATCAACATTTCACCAGGTGAAGATGTGTGTTTAACAGTATGACGACTGCTTGCTCAAGGTCAGAGTTTAAGGTGTGACTAATATCTTATAAACCTGTGTGTGTGTTGGTTCTTAGTCTATCAACATTTCACCAGGTGTGTACCGCTGTGAGTCAGTTTTATGATGAAGAACAAACATCCAACCACATTGTATAAGGAAAGACTTATTAAGTACAAAATGCCATTGCTTTCACCTTGTTGTTAGTCATTTAGGATATTAAAAGTGTCAGTAATGTCACAGTTACAGAGTGAATTGTGGCTTTTTATCCATAGCAAAGCCATCCAGACCACATGTTTGATTAAACTTGATATCCACATGGACTTTTTTGAAAATTAAAATCAATGGCACTGAAATGTGGTTTGGAACAATTTTAGACCAAGAAATCGAAACATCTTTGTTTGGGATATACTGGTTAAGTATTTTTTGCACGCTTCTTGCTGGTAATGTCAGGATATTATTGGTTGACAATAACTACACAAATTCAGCACAAGACAAGCCAGACTAAATTGCAGCGTTTTACTAAGCCTGTAATTTACTAGAACTACAGAAGCTTAAAATCGCCCTCTACTGTTTAAAAGTAGCACAAACCCTTATTTTCAGACATTCATTTGAAAGAGAGCAAATACTTATAAGCATTACAATACTTAACAATACTAATAATAATACTATTTTTTACATTATATACATATATTAAATACTGTATTTAAAAAGTTAAATTATGATAATATATTTATTATATGAAAAGTTCATTTGCAAAAACAGATAACTGTTTTTAACAATTTCAAAAATCATGTTTTTTTTCATTGTGCATTCCAATTAATCTCAATCAAACTGCAGTTGGGTTATTTTGATTAAGTACAAATAACTAAAAAATACAACTAACTAACACAATAAAACACAATGAAAACACGATAACATAATAAAAAACGTGATTTTTGAAAATGTAAAAAAATCAGAGTTATCTGTTTTTGCAAATAAAGTCTTCATATATTTTTATGCATATACACAAAAACTTTTACACATACATATTTTAATATATATAATGATTTAATAACATAGTCATTCTGTGTAATTGTATATATATAACCTTTAATCAGAAGAATTGAATAATATAAATAATATAGATCTTTATATTGTATTATTTTTAGATAATATTGCATATATTTTTTACATAATATATTTACATACGTTAAATATACAAATAATGTATATTACACATTATATATATATATAGAATATAGTGAATATAGATTTTTGCATCAAAAGATATTTGAATATCTTATGTATAGTAATTAAAAAACAACAAACAAAATGTATTCATTGTAGATCATATCAGTTTAATGTCAAAAGAGACATTTCAGTGTTTGTCTGTTGTTTAATCTTTGTCAGTCCAAAAGAGTCCAAACATCTGTGTCCTAATGGAGATTCAGTTTCATCTACAAACAATAAATGTAAACATACTAAACTAATAAAAGTACTACAATAAACTGCAGAGAAAGAGAATTATCTTGATTAATGTAATATATTTTATGTTTTGAGAGACCAGTCTGATTTTTAGTGCTTTTTAACCCAAAATGCTTAAGATTTGATTCTTTAGTGTTGAGAATAAGTGCATGTTCCTAAAATTACATGGGATTCAGTTTAATACAAAATAAAAAATAAACAAATTACCTAAAAATAGTTTTAAGTGCAAAAGCATCATTTGGTCGTCATGTACACAAACTTTATGTAACTTTGTTCCCCATCAGTTTTCATCAAAGTGTCTCTTCCTGAGTGCTGATTGGTCAAAGGTGTGCGCAGAATATTTCAGGCGACCAATCATCAGAGGGTTTGAGGTATTCAGGTGCTGATTGGCTCGAAGCCATGTGATCAGTTCTTGCCAGTGATTGGCTGTTAGAATTGTTGTTCATAGTGATTGATACTTGTCAGAAGTTGCAGAGCCTCATCTACTCTGTCTGTATGTCGGAAACCAGGAAGATCAGCCGTCAACAACACCTTCAGTACCGACGGCTGAGAGACATACAGAGAGAAGAACAGATTATAAAACTTTACATTTATATATATATATATATATATACAATAAAATGTATTTCAAATTAATAAAATTAGTTTATTAATTAGTTACGTACAATTTGTATTTAAATATTTTTTTTATATTTATTAAATTTTTATTGTATTTTTCAAAACAATAGAATATTCATGATTTTAATCTACTTATAACTTATTTAGATTATTTTATCTATTTACATTTTTTGTGTGGATGTGGCATTTGGTTTTAATATTTAGATTTATTTACATTTAACCAATATTTATAAATGTTTTTTTATCTATTTGTAACCATTTTGTATATATTGACAAACACTATAATTTAAGTAATTAATTAATATACTTATATTCTAATATGTAAATTATAATTTTTTTAATTTTTAAAGATTACTGAGCTTAATGTTAGAAATGGCGTTGATTTTAAACACTACCTTCAGTCCAGCGAAGATCATCGATACTCCTCTCAGCTCGATCTGTTTGAGCAGTTCAGTGAGCTCATGGACGACAGTGAAGTCTATAGAGCTGACGTGAGAACAGTCCAGAACCAGACAGCGTGCAGGAGACGCTGACAGACCACAGACACGAGACCGTGAGCACTCAGTGAGAGTGTGTGTGTGTGTGTGTGTGCGTGCGTGTTTGTGTGCGCGTGTGTGTGTGTGTGTGCTTGTGTGCATGT